GTACCTGGAGTCGGGCGTCGGGGTCAATCGTGGCAATTACGAGGCCCTTCGGATGCTGGCCATCCGGCTGCGTGAGTACGGCATGCCGTACGTGGTGGGCGGCGACTTTAACGTAACGAAGGCTGAGCTGGAGCAGTTCGGCATTCTCAATTGGTTCGACGCGGAGTGCGTGACCACGCTGGAGGCCACCTGCGTGCAGTCCGAGCGGTCCATTGATATGTTCTTGGTGGCTCGGGCTATCAAGCTCTGTGGGGTGGAGGTCATCACGTCGTCTCCTGTGTCTCCTCACCGGCCTGTGCTGCTTACTCTAGTAGGCCAGCGTGAGAGGCCATGGATTCGCGTGCTGGAGCTGCCGAAGCCGTTCCCTGTCGACAGGCCCATGGGCTGTTGGTCCGAGGATCACACGTTGAGATGGGCCACCACGTCATCCAACGTGCAATTGCTGCTGGGGTTGGCCGGCTCGGGTCGGTCAGGGCCGCATGGCGCGGGAGGGCGCGACGGGCGGCTCGCGCCGGAGTCGCCTGCGGCCCTGCCAGAGCACGATGGCGGAGGGGATGCATCAGGGGATGCAGGCACGCCGAGCGAGCCCATCACTCAGGCCTGGCAGTGGTTCCTGCAGCAGGCGGAGCACGAGTGGGTTGACATCTACCAGGTGGAGGAGGATCGCGGCAAGCACACTGGCCGTGGTCATCAGCCCGTGCAGCGCTGGGTGCGTCGCCTGCCGCCGCGCGCTGCACGCTGGCCCCGCGTGTCCATGGAGGCGACGTGGTTGCATCGACTGGGTGAGCTTCTTCGGGTCGCTGGTTCCTGTGAGGATCGGCCGCTGGAGCGATTGCGTGCTCTACGAGGTGTTCGCGGGCTGCTCGGGAAGGCGCCCAAGCTGGTGAAAGAGGCAGCCCAGGGTGACGTTGTGCGCTCTGCGCCTGTCGTCCGTCGTGGGGTGGAGTGCCCGGGGCCTGCCTTGGACGCCAGCATGTGGCTCCGTGTCCTGAGTAACCTGCCGCTGCATCGGCTGGAACTGGCGCAACTGAGCGCCATGGCGAAGGCCGTCCACTTGGAGTCGCAGCGGCTCGCTGCCAAGGACATGGACGAGCGGGCCAAACGCTTCGCCGACTGGATTGCCGTGCAGGCCGCAGGCGGCGGTGGCGGGCTTCATGCTGTGTCCAAGGTGCCGATGGGCATGCACGTCAGCCCCGACGTCGAAGAGGTGGACGAGCTCGCCGCCGAGGGCGGCCAGGCTGGCAGCGCAGCCACCCAGTGGCACGCGCCCGCCGACCTTGGCCAGGAGATCCAGCAGCTGGAGCAGGAGTGGAGCCGCTGGTGGAGGACTTCGTGCAAGCCGGATGCCTTGCGATGGCCGCCGGACCTTGGAGAGCGGCCGCCTCGGCCGTCGGTCGATGAGCTCCGGAAGGTCCTCCGGACCTTCAAGAAGGGCTCGGGGGTGTCCTTCTGCGTCGTCAAGCCGCGGCAGCTTGACGAGCTGTGCGACGCGGCCCTGGAGGTGTTCATCGACGTGCTGGTGGCGGTGGAGCGCGACGCCAAGTGGCCCGAGCTCTCCACCAAGATCGGCTTCCTCGAGAAGCGGTTGGGCGGCGTGCGGCCGATTGCGATCATCATGATCCTGGCGCGGGTGCAGGCACGGCTTAGACGCGGCATCGCGCGAGAGTGGGAGCAGCGCAACGCTCGCTCATATTGGTGGGCGTCGGCTGGGCGCAGCTGCGAGCGTGCCGTGTGGCACCAGGCGGCCATGGGCGAGTGGGCCACGGCGAAAGGGAAGCACGACGGCGACGAGATGTCGTGGGTGGCGGTGGCGGTGCTGCTGGACCTGCTCAAGGCCTTCGAGCAGGTGCGGCACCACTGGTTGCTCGATGCGGCCAGGCGCACGGGCTTCCCCCTTTGGCAGCTCAAGCTGCAGGTGGAACTGTATTGCGCGCCGCGGATCCTGTGCTTAGGCCCAGCTTCGTCGTGCCCCATTGTGGCGAAGCAGGCGATCTTGCCAGGCGATGGGTGGGCAACACCCTTCCTCAAGCTAATGCTCATCGAGCCCTTGGACCGTTTGCAGGCGCTCCACCGGACGGTGTCTCTGGCGGTGGTGGTGGACGACCTCATGCTCTATCGTGTCGGCGGGGTGGCGCGCGTGACGCGGGAGGTGGCGGATGCTGCCTTTCGCCTGGGCGGGCTCTTGCAGGAGGTGGACCTCAACGTGGCAGTGAAGAAGTCGAGGGCCTTGGCAAACGTGCCGTGTGCCCGTCAGGACCTCGAGCGTCGCCTTCGTCGTCCTCTGGGCGTGCAGGCTGTGAAGGGGGAGCGCAACCTCGGGGTCGACTTCGCCTGCGGCAAGCGCATCGTGCGCACGGTGAGGCAGGAGAAGCTGGTGCAAGCGGGGCTCCGCATCCGGCGCGTCAACATCCTGAAGGTGGGACGTGGCCGCAAGCTTGCGACCAGGAAGGTCGCGCGCTCGGGCCTGGAGGCGAGCGTGTCCTACGGCTTCAGCGTCACGGGCTGCGCCACGGGCGAGCTGGACAAGACGCGGTCGCTCGTCTTCTCCGCCATGGTGCCTTCCACTGCAGGGCGGTCTCGCACTCTCACCCTCATGTTGGCCAAGATGATGGATCCAATGTACCGGGCCACCGTGCTGCCTGTCATGGCGCTGTTGCGGGCCGTGTGGGAAGGTTGGCTGCCCCGGCATGTGATCGATTTCGGCATGATGCAGTGCGGTGCTTCCTCCTGGCCTCAGGTGCGTGGACCGTTCTCTGCGGTGCACATGACGTTGGAGAGAATCGGTTGGACTATCATCGACGCGGCCACGTGGCGCACGCACGAGGGCGAACTCCTGCAGGTGTTTGAGGTAAGCCCATGGCTGGTCAAGCGGCTGCTGTGGCGTGCGGTCGAGGCTTGGCAGTGGCAGCAGGTGGCCAAGAAGCCCGAGCTTGCCCACCTGCGTGACGGCGGTGTGCTCGAGCCGCTGGTTCGCATGACCTCTACAGGCGCCGTTAGCCGCAAGGGTGTATTCGGCGATCATGTGCAGGCGCAGGACGTGGAGGGCGGCGACGCTGCAGGGCCGCCGAGGGCCGGCGGTGACCTCCCTGGCGCTGCTGGGGAGCCTCCAAGGTCACCGAACGCTGGTGTGCTGCCGGACGCTGGCCAGGAGGCCCCCGGGGCCGGTGACCTTCCTGGCGCTGCCGAGGAGCCCCCAAGGTCACCGAGCGCCGGCGTGCCACGTGATGCTGCTGGCAGGGTTGTGCGGCTCACGCCCAAAGAGCGCGGCTACTTGGCATCGGTTGTCGCCGATGGGCAGTGGCCCCAGCAGCGGAAGCATTGCGCGGGGCTTGCGCAAGATGAGGACTGCTTGCTGTGCGGAGAGCCTGGCACGCTGCTGCACCGGCACTGCGACTGCACAGGACGGCCAGAGGAGTTGCGCCTGCCCGAGCGTATGCGGCTATTGCGGCAGCGTGCTGATGACCTTCCCGAGGTGCGTTGCCTCCTGGAGCGGGCGCTGTGGCCAGCGCCGAAAGGACTCGTGATGCCACCTCGGTCCGACGCGGTCTGCTGGTTCGGCAACGGTGACGGCGTGCTGCCATCTGGCGAGCTCTTCCTGGACGGTTCTGCCTTCGAGGGCGAGTACTCCCAGTTCACCAGCGTGGGCTGGGCCGTCATCGCGCTCCAGTCCAACTGCGAGGTGTTCTCGACGGGCGTTTCGGGCATGATGACTGGCCCATTCATGGACATCAATGGCGGCGAGTTGAGCGCGCTCCTCGCTACGTTGCGCTACGCGGTGCCGCCCGTCACTGCCGTGGTCGACTCCAAGTTCGTGTTCCTGGGCCTCACGGTGGACGGTCGAGAGCGCACGTGCTCGTACGTGTACGCCTGGTCGCACCCTTGGAGGGAGGTGTGGCGGCTTGTCGACGAGTTCGGGGGCTTGTGCGCGGGGGGCCTGACGATCCGCTGGGTCAAGGCCCACTGCACGAGGCGCCAGATCCTCGACGGGGTCGTGTCCTACCGCGACTGGTACGGCAACAGGCTGGCGGACCAGGCGGCCAAGTCGGCGGCGGCCCATGCGAGGCTTCCTCACGCCAGCCGCCTGAAGCTGCTCCAGAGCGAGAAGATGGTGGAGGGAGTGGCGATGTGGCTGTCCGCGGTGGGCTCGGCGGTGGGCGGCGCGGACACCACGCACCGCAAGGGCAAAGCCAATCGACCTGCGCCGCGCGCTGTGGTAGCTGCCCCTGCGGCGCCGCCGCTGCAGTGCCAGCTGCGCGGGCCCGCGGGCAAGCGGTGGTGCGCGGTGTGCCGCTGGGTAGAGAGGAAGTCGGCCTGCCCGGGCAGCATCGTGGCAGCGGCTCTCGACCTGAACGCTGCTCATCGCAGCGGCGGGCTCAGGCCTCACCGCCTTGCGAGGGTGCGGCCGCAGAACGAGCGGCAGATGGTGCGTGAGATGCCCGTCGTCGCCTGCCTCACCTGTGGCGCGCTGGGGTCGCGCCGTGCTTCGAGCTTCGCCCGCGAGTGTCTGGCTCCCTCGGCGAAGGCGACGGCGGCGCTCACCAAGTTGGCAGACGGGAAATCGCCGCACGGGGACGTGGCGAGTGAGCTGGAGCTGCTGTGACCCGGTCCTGGTGGTGGTGTACGAGTGCGCGCACTCCCAGTACACCCTCGACGTTCGGCGCTGGGCGGCCGCCGCTACCCGCGCGCCGAAGGCGCGGCCGCGGCCGCGCGCGGGGCGGAGAGACCCTTCGCCCTCAGCCGCGCGCTCTCTCTCTCTCCTCCACCCCTCCTCCTCCTCCTCCTCCTCCTCCTCCTCCTCCTTCTCCTCCTCCTCCTCCTCCTCCTCCTCCTCCTCCTCCTCCTCCTCCCCCTCCCCCAATAGCCATTTTGGCTCAAGCCATTTTGGCTCAAGGCAGCTGGCCAGGTCAGCAATTTCCCAGACCGGCCTCCCAGGAGGCCACTCAGTGTCTTTCGCGCTCACACAAATAGCAGCCATGTCGTCCCGCTCTCCATGAAGCAGGTTAAGGACAGAACCATTCGTAAGCCTAGGAAGGCTCACAAAAAGTCCAGGAAGGACGAGAAATCGAAGAAGTCAAAGAGGGAGAAGGCTAGGAGGCCGTCAGATCCCAGAATGCCCGTGTTCCAATCGGAGCGCAAGCGCAAGGACTCTAGCTCAGAGTCCGAAGCCCATCCAGAGGTAACCAGCGAAGGCGATCGTTCGTTATCCAGAATGGAAGAACTCAAGCAGAATTTACAGGATGCTCGCATCAAATCGTTGGCAGAGAAGCTCGACAATGCTAGGGACGAGATCAAGAGGCTCAAGCAGACCAGGGGCTTGGAATATCCAGCCCAGAACAGCAAGTCGGCAGAGACAGCAAAATGAGGGAAGAGTCCCTCAAATCAATGCCTAACATTGCAAGTAGTGAGCACGTTTGGGGAAATGACCTCAGGCTACGGAGCACATCAGCTTGGCTAGAAGGCCATTTGGCGTGAGCTATCAATGCTTACGGCATGTCCTTCTCAATGCGGTCGTATCTGCGCTTTTGATGTGGACTTCTCCATGTCTAATATCACGTCTAAGCCGCCTTGCTGGCAGCACTGAAACAATTCGCTAGCATGCAATCGAATCAGGCACACTTAGCCAAGCATGGCTTCCATCAGCTCACCCTCATCATCGTGACGGCCGCAGGCGCTAGAACGCGCAGCGTATAGCCATTATTGTCAAGTGTTGGCCAGGCCCCTCGCTTTGTGCAAGCACTAGGATGTGCAGTTGCAAGTCATTTCAGGGGCCATTCATACTGCTGTGAGGGTGAGCAATACAGAGTCGTGTGCATATTTTCCTAGCAAGTATGTCACAAGTAATCTTGTAGGCCAGCAGACAGGCAAGCGAAGTCTTGCAGCCTGAATCCTTCCAGTCCTCCCTCCTCCTCATCAGCCCAGTTTATCCCATTCTCTCCCACCAGACAGTGCATGGAATTGGCAGCCAGGGCTAAGTTGCAAAACTCTGCCCTCTCCTGGCGGGTCGTGCCATGGCAATGCCATGCCTGAAAGCCCGAACCTGCACGTTGGCGTCCAGGGGGTGTTTTTGTCTGAGAGGGGAATGGTTGGGAGGGCATTCTTACTCTTTTCAGGGGTCCAGGAAAGTCTGGCGAAGTAATCCCCTAGTCTTTATTTTCTTCATCCCTTATGGTGGGAAGGTCAGGTCTCGCTTTGCTAGGGGGTCAGCCCATTAGAATGTGGGAAGTGAGTTACCCCAGTGCATAGCAGTTGATCTCCTTCCCCCTCCCTTTCTCCAACCTTCCTCCATTTCCTCCTCCTCCTCCCTCTGGGGCAGGGTTCGGTAGCCGAATCGAAACCGGCAGCGCCCCAGGCAATGGTCTGGGGGTCAGCTGCTGTCCGAGGAACGCGCCTGGCTTTAGTTCACCCCGAAGCGAATGCCAATGTCCTCCTCCTCCTCCTCCTCCTCCTCCTCCTCCTCCTCCTCCTCCTCCTCCTCCTCCTCCTCCTTTCCTCCCTCGACCTGCGGCCTTCGGCCCTCCGCCCGCCGTCGAGGTGGTGGTGCCCCGGAGGGGGGTGCCGAGAAGGGGACAGACCTGCCCGATGCGCGTGGAGATTTACGAGCTGCACCCTGAGGTGAATCGGCGGTGCGACGCGTTCGACCATGGAATCCTTGTTGCCCAGTGCTCCTGGTCCGTCTTCGGCGGTCCTCGGGCGGTCTTCGGCGGTCCGCTGACGGGCTTCGGCGGCCTCCAAGGGCCTCAGACGGCGACGGGTCTGCCGCTCCTCGGACGTTGCCGCCGCGAAGTGCACAGAGATGAACCCCTGCTTGCACAACTGCTCAAGGTCGATGATGCTGGACAAATGCTGGTGGGCGATGCGGATCACGTCCACTCGTCGCAAGCGCTGCAGCTTGGCGCGCCTGTACAAATCAGCAGTGAACGGGGTGTAGGCGAAGCACAGGGATCCCTCGGCGTTGGTGATCCGCTTTGTGGACCCGTAGCAGGTCCTCCTCAGGGGCACATTGTATTCGAAGCGCTCGGCCAGCGCACGGACCACGTCCCCGTCGGGATCCAGGTAGAGCTTCAAGAAAGTCTCGTCGCCGTCCACGCTGGGGAAGCAAGCGCAGGTAAAACCGCTCCTGGAAGAACAACAGGAGACCGATACAGTTACCGCTGCCCCCCAGAGCTCTTCCAGCGTGCGTTCTGACCAGGATACCGCGGCGAATCCAGCCGTGGCAAAGCGGGCCCGAGGTCCAAAAAGGCGGAATCAAGGGAATGCCTCCCGAAGCAAGCGATGGACCCCCAGCGACGACCCAAGACATCCGCGCGGACCTCCGAAAGTATATATGTGTATATATATATATATGTGACATATGTGTATATGTGTGTTAATGCAGCTCCCTGCACAATGTGCCCGCAAAGATGCTGCAACGTGTCGAACGCCTGGTGAGGGAGCCCGGGTTCTCGAGAGCGGTGGCGCATCGTGGACCCCCTCGTGGACCCCATCGCACTGCTTGCCCGAAAGGCCTCCACACCACTCGTCGAACGACCGGCAGGGGCAGCCTCAGGCCGCCGAAGTCGGCGGCCTGTGGCGGCCCCGCATTGTGGGCCCCCTGCCCGTGCCACCGGGCAAGGCTGTCCAGGGCATCCTGCCCCAAAGGGGTGCCATGTGCTGCGCCCGATTCGTGGCCCCTCGGAGCTCCTCTCGAGGACGGCCTCGAGCTTCCGCCGCACGACGCCGTGGTACTCCTCGGCGAGCACGGGCCCGGCGCCGAGCCCCTCGATCTCCCGGTCCTCTCGGGCTGAAGCCAGGGGGGCGGAAGCAACACGCGCGTGGGCAATCGGAATGCAGGAACAGACGACTGAGCAACCAGAAGAGTACCCCTAACCCTTTGGGAGGGGACTTAAGTCAGGAGGACCAAACACATTAGGGATAGGGGGTCGTTTCTCCAGATGAATCAGACCAAACCGCTCAGACCTAATCATGACCCCTGCTGCGAAGACAGGGACCTGAGTGGAGCCGCGTCTTCATCGCGAACTTAGGATTCGGGGTTCTCTTTTGTGCTCGATGCAACGGGCGGGGGGGGGGCAGGAGGAGGAGGAGGAGGAGGAGGACGAGGAGAGGAGAAGCAGAGGCAGGATGAGGAGTAGAGGAGGAGAAAGGAGGAGGATGAGGAGGAGGATCAGGAGGAGGAGGAGAGAGATGGGGGGGGCGAGTAGGGGGATGAGGAGGAGGAGGAGGGGAGGAGGAGGAGGAGGAGAAGGAGGATGAGGGGAGGATAGGAGGATGTCGGAGTCGGAGGCGGAGGCCAGGAAAAGGAGGAGGAGGAAGAAGAATAGTAGAGGAGGAGGAGGAGGAGGAGGGGAGTGAGGGAGGAGGAGGAGGAGGATGGAGGAGTAGTAGGAGGAGGGATTAGGAGGAGGAAGGATGGAAGAGGCGAGAGGAGGAGGAGGAGGAGGAGGAGGGGGAAGGGCAGCACACGCGCGGGCAATCGAAACGCACGGAGCAGACGAGCGAGCGCGCGGAACCTGCCGGGAGGGGGCGGGCCGACGAGCGGCCTCCGCGGGGCGACCGTGGCGGCTCACCCCATCGGGCTCCGAGCTCCTCGGGCGGCGTTGACCGTCGGCAGAAACAAAAAACATTCCTCCTCCCCCTCCTCCTCCTCCTCCTCCGCCTCCCTTCTCCAGCTTCCTCCTCCTACGCTCCTCCTTCCTCCCTCCTCCTCCTCCTCCCTCCTCCTCCTCCTCCTCCTCCTCACCCTCATCTCCATGTGAGCGACGATCACAAACGGGTTTTGCGCGAGATGACGTGGCGGCCTTGCGCGGCGGCTTACGCGGGCCGCCAGCGCGGCACTCCACGTTGGAGACGAGGGCGCTCACGCGCGACCTTACGCGGGGAGCTTACGCGCCAACGTCGGCGCAGACGACCCTCTTTTTTGCGTCGCTCACGTGAGTCCGACCATTCCCTGACGACCTACCAGACCACCCCGCGAGGGTGCTGCAGGGTGGGCCGAAACACCCAACAATTGCCAGCACAACTGCAACAAGTACAGTACATAGTGAGACCGCATGAACATCATCGCAAGACGACAGCATGCATGCCGGATTGGGCTAACCGGCTAACATACAGCGAGGGCGCGGCCGCAAGAAGCCTTCCCCAAAAACCCAACCCTGAAAACCCGCGCGCGAGGTGCACCTGAGAGGAAATCCGGAGCGTCCTGAACGACGCAGCTTCTTCCACGGCTGTGGGAAGTCACCGCGCAGCGCGCTGAGCGAAGAAACCCAGGGTACCCTGACGAGAAGCAGATGGCATCTGGATGCGCGCCCCCACTGCACAAGACCTGTGCAAGAGAAGATCTGGCGGCAAGTATCGGGAGATGAAGTGAGAAGGGGCGAGCCTTCTCGGAAGGTTCGGAAGCCCCTCAGCCTTCTGAGAAGTTCTCCAAGCCTTCCCCGAAGACAGAGGGAAGCCTCTCAGGAGGCGCGAGGGCTTCTTAGAAGCCCGGCCGCCTGCTGAGAAGGCCTTCTTCTTCTCCCTTCCCCCCTCGCTCACAGCCGGGAGATGGGCAACGGCGATGGCGGAGACGAGGGAGCGAGGATGGGGACGACGACGGGGGCGGAGGCAGTGGCGGCGGCAGTGGCGGCGGCTGGGGAGCGGCAGCTGGGGCCCTGGCGGCCGTCGGAGACGCGAGGAGCGGAGGGGCCTCCTCCTCCCCCTCCTCCTCCTCCGCCTCCTCCTCCTCCTCCTCCTCCTCCTCCTCCTCCTCCTCCTCCTCCTCACCCTCCTCCTCCTCATCCTGTTCCTCCCTCCTCCCTCCTCATTCCTCCTCCTCCTCCTCCTCCCGTTTTGCGTCCCTCGAGATCGGGAAAGTCAAGGCCCACCAGGACCTGTCTTCCCTGGTGGTCGGCTCGAGGGACTGGTTTGTTGCCAAAGGTAATGACTGGGCGGACAAGGTGGCCAAACAAGCGGCCGCCAGAATCCCCGCCCCGTCCCAGGAAGAAATCGAGCATTATAAAGAATGTCGCAGCCGAGTTCAGAGGCTGGTGAAGTATGCAGCAGAGGCTCTCTCCTTGTGGGCCCCGCTCGCTCCGAAGTCGGGCAAGAAGGCCTATGAGAAGCCCGCCCAGAGTTTCAATCCCCCAGTTGGGGCAGCGGGAGCAGTCAACCAGTGGACTGCGCCACCCCCGCCCCCTGGGGGTCTTCCTCGGCGTGCTCGAGCGTGCCGTGACCCCCAGGGCGTGGCGAGACACCAGTGGGCATGGCTTAATAATCATTGGCTGCGCCTCGCCTGTCACACCCGCGCCCGTACGGACAGCACTCGCAAGACCCGCTTGCGAGAAACATGCCCAGGCAATTCAGTCAGGTTGTCGATGTTAATTAGGGACCCCAGAAGCACCAATTAATGATGTGTGATTACCTTGATGTTGAGTCATTCCTAGTCGTGTGTAAGAGGTGCGGCCGCTACAGCGAAAGCAACCTCAAAGGACTCAAAGGTGAATGTGAGGAGCGCTTCCAAAGCAGGTTTTCCCAAGGTGCGTGGTCCCTCCTGGCAAGCGGCCGTCATCCCAAGAGCAGCATGAAGGCCCGCCCCCCGACTTTCCCTGCCAATCCCTGCAGCCCAGCTCCTCAAGGAAGGAGGGGCGATGTAGGGAAGAAAGCCAGCGTAAGAGGAGAGCGGATGTCACCTCCAGGTTTCGGTTAGGGTCGGGTCGGCTTAACCCTAGCCTCCCTCATTAGCATGTGATGGTCCTCATCCTCCTCCTCCTCCTCCTCCTCCTCCT